GGCTCCCACGCCCCCCGAGCCAGGCGAGAACCCAGGAGTCCGGCTCCCAGCCCCCCCTTCTAGCTCCCTAGGCCGCTCTCCCAGGGCTGCGGCTCTCGCCCACCCACAGATGGGTGCCGTGCCGGGTTTAGCCCAGCTGGGCGTGCCGGGGGGGCCGTGCCGGCTGCTGTGCGCTCGGGCTGGGGCCGGGGGGGCCGGGCTGGCTCAGGCTGGGGAGTCGCGCGGCTGTGTGAGCATGTTCAGTGGCGGGGGAGCAGCAGACTGCTAAGGAGCTGGAGCCATCGCGCCGGCGGCAGCCCCGGAGCCGGGCACACAATGGGCTGCTGAGCAGCTGCCGCGCGGGTGGCCAGCGAGGGGGGGCGCAGCCCGGCGACGGGGTCCCAGGCCACATTCCATCGCCGTGGTGATCCGGGGCTGCGGTTGCCAGCGCCTGCGATTGGTGGGAGCAGGGTCCTGCTCTGGCCGCGCTGGGTGCAGGGGGAGCCCGGGACCCGGCCGCCTGACAGCTGAGCATGGGCGGGCACCGCGGGCAGCCCAGGCCAGGGTGGGCAGCGGGGAGCCCAGGCGCCCGGCCCGGCGCCGGGGCGTGAGGCACTGCCGGGGACAGGGACTGGAGCCACCATGAGGGCCTGCTCGCAGGGCAGCGCACGGGCCGAGCGGCTCTCCAGCCTCCAGGTCTTCGCCAACAACTCCTCCCTGCACGGCATCAGCCACATCTTCCGGCACGGCTCGCTCTCGCTGCGCCGCGTGCTCTGGGCCCTCTTCTTCCTGGGCTCGCTGGGGCTGCTGCTGGTGGTCTGCATGGAGCGCGTCACCTACTTCTTCTCCTACCCGCACGTCACCAAGCTGGACGAGGTGGCCGCGCCCAACCTGACCTTCCCCGCCATCACCATCTGCAACCTCAACGAGTTCCGCTTCTCCCGCATCACCCGCAACGACCTGTACCACGTGGGCCAGCTGCTGGCCCTGCTCAGCGACCGCTACGAGATCCGCAGCCCCCACCTGGCCGAGCCCCAGCTGCTGGCCGCCCTGCGGGACAAGGCCAACTTCCGCAACTTCAAAGCCAAGCCCTTCGACATGGCCGACTTCTACAACCGCACGGGCCACGACATGGCCGAGATGCTGCTACAGTGCAGCTTCCGCGGCACCGACTGCACCGCCCAGAACTTCACCGCGGTGAGTGCGGCCCCCACCGGACCGGCCACAGCCTGCCTCAGGCCCGGGCGCGGCTCTGCCTCGGGGGACCGCTGGGGGGGGGGTCTGCCACGGGCGTTGGGCAAGGTGGGGGGATGTTTGACTCCAGGCCTAGGGGGCAGCTCGGGGGGCGGGGGGAGGGTCCTGGCCTGGGTCCGTCATTCACTTGGGGGGGGGGTCGTGCTGTTGGCACTGCTGCGTTGGACTCGTACTCCCGGGGCATCAGAGAGGGAACAGGGTGACGATCCACCCCTCCCCCATGTGCCTAGTACTGGGCATGGGATTCCTGCTCCCCCCATGGCTGGGCTGCTGCCCCCCGGGCTCATCCCCCATCTCTGGAGCTAAAACCCGCCCCGCAGCCCGGCCAGACCAGGCCCCGCTCCTGGGCTCCTCCGTTCCGTAGCTCAGCTGTCTGCGGACATGCCAGGCTCCCCTCTGCCTCTGGTATCCCGCAGCTGTGGGTCTCCGGCCCCTGCCAGCCACGGAGCTGCCGGCCCCACCCCGGCGCGCGGGCACCCCGCCGTCTCTGGTGCCACGAGCTGCGCGACATTCGGGAGCCGGGGCTGGAGCTAAGGCTGAGCCGACAATTCCCCAAAGCACCTTTCTGGGCCGCAAGCTGCCGGGCGTTTCCCAAAGGAGACGCCCCGGACGCCGCGCCAGCGTCACTACAGCCCTCCTCACAGTACGGGCCCGTGCGCCACAAGCAGTGGCCTGGCCCTGCAGCCTGGCTACGAGCCCCCCGTTTCGCCAGCTGGCCCGTGGGCCTGGCTGTCCAGCCGGCCAGCTGAGCAACGCTGTCCGCTCTGACCCCGTTTATATCCCATGCGCCCTGACAGCCGCATTGCTCGGTGCCGGTCCGCGGCCACGTGGCTCAGACACCCCCTCGCGGTGCGCTCCCCAGCCGGCCTGGCCCAGGGGGTCCAGCTGAAACCACTGCTGCGGTTTGCAGTGACACGGACCCGACCCCTTGGGAACACTCGCTGCACCCCCAGCAAAGCCACTTCTCGGCCGCACGCCGCTCGCCTCACTGGCCAGCGAGCGCCGCCTTGCCCTCCCTCTGGCCCGTCCCTGGCACTCGGTGCTGGGCGGAGCGCACCCTGACCTCCAGCCCGGGTGGGACAGGCGGTGCTGGCTCGCCGTGGCCTCAGTTCCTGCAGGCGGCCCGAACGGGGGGGAGCTCAGTGCGTCGTTCGCACCCACAGGACCTTGCTCAGACCCTAGTGCCAGGAGCAGAAACCAAGAATCCCGCTGCCAGCATTGTCGCTGCTGTCACACGCTTGTGTAAAGCGCGGGCCGTGTGTGACACGGGAGCCATGTGTGCACACTTGTGTAAAGCGCGGGCCGTGTGTGACACGGGAGCCATGTGTGCACACTTGTGTAAAGCACGGGCCGTGTGTGACACGGGAGCCATGTGTGCACACTTGTGTAAAACACGGGCCGTGTGTGATGCAGGGGCCATGTGTGCACGTCTGACATGGGGCAGTGTGTGCGCAGGTCTGTGCGTTGTGGCTCCCTGACCAGGCTGCTCCGCACAGGGGCTGGGGCCTGCCCTCGGGAGCAGACGCCGGCGCGTGGGTGCAGACCCTGCTGATGCCCCAGGCTGGGCGGAGCTGGGCCCTGTACTAGCTATGCCAGGGCCTGCTGCAGGCGCCCGGCCTTGGCCTGTTGTTTGCTGGGTGCTGCTCCTTTAAGAACAGGGTGGGGCAGACAGTGTTTGGGGCAGGGCAGGAGCCCTGGTTGGGGAGAGCTCCCAGATACTTCAGCTCCCGCCTCTCCCAGCAGGGGGCGCTGTGGGGCAGGGCAGGTGCGTGGGCTGCAGCGACTGAGGGACCGCGGGAGACTCGGGACTGAGCTGTTGTGGAATGGGGTGAGCAGAGCTGCGGATGGAGCCAGGTGTCACGGACTCACAGGTCGTGCCCACTCCATGGCCCCGTGTGGTCCCCTTCAGTACAACAGCCCTTCTTGCGGGTCCACTCTCTCTCGGGGTCAGGCCCCTCCACCTCCTGGAGCTGCACCTCTCTGAGCCTTAGCACGTCTGTCTCTGCCGTGGGCCCCCTCAGGGAGTCCCCTCGCTCTGGGCCCCCGGGGCCTCCACCCCCCGAAGGGGTTGATGCCCCCCTGTTCTCTAGACCGGAGTGACTCTCAGCCAGCGTAACACAGGAGGGTTATTGAGCGTTGAACCCAGCACAGGAAACTCTCCGGGCCTCAGGCCTGGCCTCCCTCAGCCCAGCACATCCCAGTCTCTCTGCATCCAGGGGGGCTCTGCCTGCTCCCCCTCTCCAGCCCCGAGCCCCCCTGCTCGCCGCTGGGCATCTGAGATCACCGGCCCCAGGCCCCGCCTCTGTCCATTGTCTTCTCTCCAGGGAAACAGGGTCGTAAACCTGGGCCTCCTCTCCTCTCCGCCCCCTCTGGCTGGAACCGGCTGGTCAGGTCACCAGGGTCCTCTCTTCGCAGCCCTGTCCAGGAGTGTGGGGGGACACAAGGCCCTGCACCCCCGGCTTCCTGTGATTCACCATGACTCTCAGCCAGCCAGTAAAGCAGAAGGTTTATTTAGACGACAGGAACACGGCTCAAGACAGGCCTTGCAGGTACAGACAACAGGACCCCCCTCAGTTTGGTCCATCTAGGGGCCCCAAGGACACCACAGCCCCGGAGGTGGGGTGGCGCAGAGCCCCGTCTGGGCCCTCCTCCATTTCACCAGCCAGCTCCAAAACCCTAACTCTCTCCAGCGTCTCTCACTGAGCCTCCCCCCCATTTCCTGGGCAGAGGTGTCACCTGGCTCCAGCCCCCTCCTGGGTTCTCATGTTACATGCTCAGGTATCATCCCTCAAGGCCAGTCTCCCATCCCCCAATGCAGACCGTCCCAGCCAAACCCCTGTCACCTTCCCAGGCCAACACTCCCCACTCAGCATTCAAAGACCACATTAAGAACAGTCCCAGTTCGGCACAAGCCCATTGTCCTCCCACTGGCCAGAACCGGCTGCGACTCCTGAGCTGGGCCTCATGGTCATCAGGTCACCGGTCGCTGGGGTATCCGTCCTCCAGGCCATTGGCTGGGGTCCCAAGTTCCCTCTCCGGTCCCTTGTAACAACAAACTCCCTCTCCCCTCACCTCTTTAAACCAGTAACACCCAGGGACACTGAGTCCCACTCCCTCCGCATGCAACCATTGGAAAAACACGGAAAAACAAGAAACTCCCCTACTTCGTCACACCAGGCGTTGAGAGTGGTTGAGGCCTAGGGTGGCCCCTGCCCTAGCTGGGCGACAGACCGGGACCTTCGCACGGGGCCGAGGACGCAGGGCAGCGGGGCGCTGGGTGCAGACTCTCCATCTCCCACGCAGGGCAGGCAGGCCGCACGCTCCAGGCTGGGGGAGGGATCCCTCTGTCCCCACCCACACTGAGCCGGTGGAACTCCCTGCCACAGGGTCTCGCTCAGGCCAAGCACTCAGGTATGGTCAGAGTGTTGGACGTTGCAGTGGATAACGAGACTTTCCAGAGACCCCGGGGGGCATCCAGCCGGGCTGCCTGCGGCAGCACTGGGCCAGTCTCCGCTATGGGCTTGGGGTGTCTCCGTCTGCGTGGCGTCCCTTGGAGCTGCTGGGCCTGGCCCCGCTGGGCCGGGCCGGCCTGGCAGCTTGGGGGATGGGGAGCAGGCAGATCAGGGACGAGAAGGGCGTGGGAGGCTGGAGAGGGGACAGGCCCATGGAGGGGGCGATGAGGGAGTCCTGCGACACTTCCCTGCCCCATATGACCCTGGCCTGAAGGGGCAGCCCCAAGCTCACAGCACCGCCTGGCAGTGCCCACCCTGCGCTCAGCTCTCACTGCAGCTGGGGTCCCCCCCAGCACAGGGAGCCTGTGGGGCCAACCCCACAATAGCAGGCATGACCCCCGCTCCCCCGAGCCCCGTGGGGCCTGCAAGGAGCATTCAACGGAGACTGGACACGGCTGGTCATGGAGGCGGCTCCCCGCCCACACGTCGCCATGGCCCCCTCTCCCCCTTCCTTAGATGGATCCCTTGTTACCATGGCAATGGCTCCCCTCTTTCAGTGCAGCCGTTGCCATGGCGATGCCTCCCCTCCCTTACCTGTGCAGCCTAGTTGCCAGGACAGCGTCCCTGGTGTGGGTTGGGTGCCGCGGTACCCACATGGGCCTGCTGCGCCCATCACACCCCTACCCAGGGCACTGGGGTGAAAGGTTCCAACCCAGGGCCCAGTTGCCATTTCGGGGTGTCCCAGACGGGGTGTGTGTGGGTGGGTGTATGGACCCTTCCCTCCCCCAGGATGCACCAGGCCTTTACCCAGCTTGGGCATTCCTGTTAACCCCCCGAGCTGCCCCAGAGCCAGTCCCGGGGCCGGTGCAGTGCTGAGCCAGCTCCCCCCAGCCGGCACCGCTCACCCCACTGGCCTGCACCTGCCCTGGCCAAGGCAGGGCTTCCTGGGGAAGGGGGCCCTGTCCCTGGCCAGGCAGCCCATTTTACGCAGTGCCGGGGTGGCCGTGGAGGACCCCAGAAGGCTAGCCAAGTGGCGCCCGCCCCGGCCCCAGAGTTCACTCGCTGTTGTCCCCTTTGTCTCCCCGCCCCAGGCGCCGGAGTTCCTCCAAAGAGCCCCTTCCCCAGCCACCAGCCCTGGGCTGCCAGCTCCGTAACCAAGTCCTGCTGGGCGGCCCGCTGCTCGGTGGGGGTCGGTCAGGCCTTGGCATCTCCTTGCCCTGCGGGCCCCTCTGTAGATTTGGACCGGTTCTGTAGTGACTTTGTCCATCCCCAGACAGCACCGTGGCCCCCCACCCCACCCCTGCGCTCTCCCAGGAGTGTCAGCCCATTGGGCAGCAATGCCATGCCCTGAGGGAAACTGAGGCAGGCCAAGGCTGCATACAGCTATTACAAACAATTCCCAGTTACCCCAGTGGCCTCAGTTACACCCCGGGGGCAGCAGGGCATGAACCTGGGCCCTCTGGATCCCGCGGGGGAGCTTCCCCTGCCCAA